TACTCTCGTGACGCAAATTCTACTTTACATTGTAAGGTGATCCACTAACTTTTAAATAATAACATTAAGAGTACAATGTAGAGTAGAATTTGCGTCACGAGAGTAGGATTTTCATTTCGTATTTTCGTTGGTCGTTCGGAATCCTACTCAATCTTGTTTTTTTTAATTTTTTATGTTCTTAGTACAGGGCCATGGGCCAAATTTTCAAATTTTTGATGATGGTAGCTATTAACAAAACACTAGTAGCCATTTTTATCAGGAGGATTCTCAGCTGTAAAGCAGTAACTTTTTCACCAGAAGTGGCCCATGTATAGAAGTTTTATAGTATGACATAATGTCTATTTTCTCCCTCCATTGTTGTGCTAGGAGTCCCATTACTAGTGGACCAATGATGTCCATTCCAGCAAGAAAGATTCACTTTCACTCAAAATGTCTCATTTGCGTCGTCTGTCGATCTCGTCTCACTCTGGGCCATGGACGAACGACAGTGTTCCTCCGACACTCCCTCCCTCACTGTGCCTCCTGCTATTCTACTGATAATGGTGAGAGGAGGAGGAGAAATGGAGGGAGAGAGAGCATTTCATGTGTAGGGAAAGAGAGAGAGAATTCAGAGAAAGTTGAAGGAGGAAAATGAGAGATTAATTTAAGGGCAATGTAATAAAGCCTTTTTATCCTGGCACATTTTTTAAAGCATATGTCAAGTTCATTAGGCATTTTTGACAGCTGAAATAATGTGCATAAATGTGTCACTGAACTTACATGTAAAACCTTGATTCAAAAAAATTTTTTTTATTTTTAAATATTTAGGTATTAAAGCTACAACATGCTAAATTACAGATCCACTTACAAATAAAGAAATTTATTTCTTCAAAAATGAATGATTTCTCTATATTTCTAACACTTTCACACTAATTCTTAACCCTGATGCAATTGCCAATACTTATTATAAGTAACAATTAATAATTATTATTACTTTATACTTATTTAATATTACTTTGTGTTTTGTATGAATGCTATTAGTGGTTTCATTAATTAACTGCAAAAATATCATTCTATACTAAAAATGCATCAAAACCAACACACCCAGTACAACCTCCTACACATAGCAATCAAGGGTGTAGTCCCCATTTTCAGGGACTGCCCTGAATTATACTGCATAGAAATTCAATTAAATGCCAAGTTACTACAGGGCTAGCTACAACAACAGCTGCAATCAACTGTTTTTTTTTTCATGAAAATAATTTGTATTTCATAAAGATCACTGCACAACAAAACTGAAGACATATCTAATGACATTATGACATGTTATTCTTAATGTATTATTGTTCAATATCATGCACTCAACGAATATATATCTCAATAATATCAATTGGAGTAGCTTCATCAGGATATCCCCGACTGCTACACATCCTCAGCTCAATATCATCAGTAACTGACTGAGGTAAGGTTTTAATAAACCAGGGGATTGTAGAATTGGAGCAACAAGGAGACTCAAGATAATCACATTGCTGACCATCCCACATTATGTCATCAGGATAAAATCTATCAGAGTTGAGATTTGAGGATGTTGCTCCTGATTCACAGTAGTAATCATTACCAACATATGATGGTGTAGTAGTTGTTGAACCATTATTACAAGGACAATCAAATGCCTTATTATTATCTT